CTTCCTTTTTCCAGGTAATCCTACGTTTCTTTTGGTGCGAAGATTCACCAACTAATTCCATACCTAGTCCAAACAATTTTATAAAGTACAAAGTAACACAAAGTTTAGCAAACGAATAAACAGCCCAATAAACATAAAATCTACAAGATCTGTTTACAATTGTTACCATCCTCAACTCTAAATAGCAATCTTAAAGTACACATTTTAACTCTAAATAGCAATCTTAAAACAGCCCACTTTTCTTTTTGATAGCAATCTTCAAACCCCATCTAAACAGAAGATAGCAAGATCTATAAGATCTATAAGAAAAGCAATCTTCAAACCCCATATAAACCCCATCTAAACAGAAGATCTATAAACAATCTGATCTATAAACAATCTGATTAGAGGTCACCATCTAAATAGTTGATCTAAATACTTGATGTAAAAGTGATAATAGCTTCGAGAAATGTAAATAGGGAAAAGAAATAATCTGATTAGAGGTCACCGGCGACCGGCGACTAGCGACCGGCGACCAGCGACCGGCGACTAAACGGCCTGTACGACCGGAGACATTACCTGATGGAGCGTCGAGAAGCTTCTGCGCGTCACCGTCACCGAAAACAGAGGTGTGGGCGATGGATGTCACCGGCGATGGAGGTCACCGACGATGGAGATGTGGAAGATGGAGGTCACCGGCGATTTTCCCTGGAGAAGATGATCTAGCGTTTCGTGTGGAAGGGCGATGTGGAAGGGTAGAGAAGGAGAGAGTGGGCTGGTAGGTGTGGAAGGGTAAAGAGGGAAAATTAATAATCTGAATGGTTTAGCATGGATTCAACCTCAAAATGGTTAAGAGCTTTGAGTAACCATTAAGAGGCTTTTATTTTTTTGCCAAACATGTCTCACCTCTGACCGATTAAGAGGTKCCCTCTTAATGTCACCATTAAGAGGGAAACAAACAGCCCCTTATACTTTCCTTCTTTTATTACAAAATTATATTCATTTTACATAATCCTTGACTGAGAAAGTTGTAGAATTTGGTTTGGTTGCATATTTTGTATGGCCTAACTGGTTTTTTTATATAACAAACGCTTTAAAGATTAAAGCTTGAAGTTGTAAGTAGTGTTTTGGACAACAGAATTGATCTGGTAAAAATTAGAGTTTGATTTGTGGCAAAGTTACTATTATGCAGCGATTCCGAGCCATAAATTGTACTTCTGAAATATACCTCTAAGGTCTTATGGTTTCTAGCGTCGTAAGTAGCATAAAATCGATATAAACTGAGTGGGAGATTGTGCTTAGGTTGCAATTTTTTTGCCTAAATCTAGGAATTGGGCTGAACAAGTGTAAGATTGAGATGAACCCACAAAGTGTTTTTTTGGGAAAGCATTTTGGTTTATTCCAGGAACTGGCAACCAAAATTTTACACAGGTCAGTTGTCACCACGAGTACTCTCCCAAGAACCATTACATGAAATAGTGTTTGAAGGTTTTATTGTACTTACTATGAAGTAGGATTCATGTGATGTAGGCTGCTAATCCCCTCTTGTCTATTTGGTAAATTATATAAACGGGCAAGTGATGATTTTTTAGCAATGTGAAGAAGATTATGACTATTCGGTTTTACAATATGTGCATACCCTTTTAGATAAGTCACCAATTGTAACTTTGAAACACTGAGCTGTGTGGAACATAGATTGTGGAACATAGATTATATGCATGGCAGTAATTTTAATAGGTATATATTGCTAAAGTTTAAGAAAGTTCCATCTGTTCCTTGCTTGATTTGTTTCTTTGACATCCACATGTGAGCGTTTTACTCATCTCAATTGCACTAAAGACTAATTTACTGTTAAGCCAACAATTATGCAGGAACCGGTGGAAAGGTTAATGCAATTACAACCTACAATGACCACCTATTTGCTGCCATTCAGGTGGTTCTATATAATCAATTTTGAATTAATTCATTGGTTTTATTCAAACAACAGAAAGCAGGGCTTTTGACCGCCTTCTCGACCCYTGGTAACAGTTMTYGACTTGCCTCACGCGATTTAAGTTCGATATTACGTACAAAATTAGAGAGAAAATACGTGCAATGTTTTCGACAGTGATTATTTGGTGATAAATGTGTTCCATYCTCAAAGTGTTAAAATTTCTTGATATGTTAAATGTGTTCTTTCTTTTTAGTGAGAAGATGATACAAACTATCTAGAAGAATCAGAGGTTGGAGATGTTTTTGATAGTGATTTGATGAAGAAGTATGTGTAATGTGGTTCACCATTACTTGATTATCCCTAAGCCAAATAAATGTTTACATTGCTTATAATGCAACCTTTATGAAGTTAATTGCTTTGACTATAGAAACTGAGCTAGAAAAGGATGCAGAAATTGAGCAGATGATAGGTAAATTTTTTAGCCTAAGTCTTAACATAGAACCTAGATACAGGCCATGAATTTGGTTTAAGGTCTAGTTTGGATTTGGATTTGGTTAGATCATAGATCAACAACCAATGTTTGGTTTAAGGTCTGGTTTTAATTGGTGATTAATGATCTATTTGCTACTATTATAAAAAGAGGTTTATACCAGTTAATGGTAATAGGATTTATAAAGTTTATTTCTGCTTTGGGTTGCACCAGATCAAAGGGTTTTGAAGATGGTCAAATCTATTTCTATAATGGTATGATCAGTTTCTTGCTGCTATTCTAATTTCTTTTTTTGGGACTGCCTTTCTCCTAATTTTCCCATCTTCTGATCTGCTGTTTCCTGTGACCTGTGTCCGCCCATTTGTTGCATCTGCTGGTTTGCGTAGTCAATGATTTTAGATTTGAAGTCATTGTGCTTCATTTGTTGTTTACTAAGTTGAATTTTGTTTAATTAATTGCATTGTCGATAACATAGTTTGTTTCAGTAAATTTGTTTCTTTGGTCAAGCCTATTGCGTAGATATGGAATTATATTATTATGTTCAGATTTAAGACATAAGGAGAGGCATGCAATTGAGATTTTAATTCCTGATAACCACATCCGCTTGCTCTGATGCTTATTAAGTTGAAGGTGCGATGATGTTAACTTACAAAGAACATGTTCCATCTCAAATTACTCTCCCCTTGACAATGCAAAAGAAAAGAAGATTATAAGAGAGGAAATCAGCTCGTGCTTAAAATTCAACCAAATCAAAAAAAACCATCATCGAAGGTATGGGTTATTTTATTTTAAGTCTATATAATGCAAGCTGTAGAAGGTAGTCTAGATTGTGCAAATTTTAACATTTCACTTAAGTATTTAGGTGGATTTCCTTTTCTTTCTTCATGGATCAAACCGATTTTTTTGGTCTGTGCATAAATAGTGTGGATGCTATTGATTTTTTACAAAGTTGAGATTGAGAAATTATTGAAAGAAGCAAGTACTAGAAACACATTTTCTCTCTGTTGCTTGTAATTTTTGTTGCTATATTTAATTGTTTTGACTTATTAATTGTCAAATTTGTAAAAAGGGGGAAACATTACCAAGAGCTCCAAATATGTTAGGCTAGCTGCATTCATTTCCTTTGAACTTTGATAAACAGTAGTATAAAATTTATTCGTTGTTCGAATCATGATCAAGAAAGTGATTTGGTTTTAAAGTTTTCTAAAAATTAAGAAGCCGTTTGCCAAACGCTTACTTGGGTAAGCGTTTACTAAGTCACATTACCTTACCCGATGAATATGGCAAGGACCAAAAAACTTATCTGGTAAGTGCGAAGACAAGGACCGAGAGAGTCTTACCCGGTAAGCGAGGACGATGACTTTTACATGTTGTGTTCTTCTTGTTCTAAACATGTTCTTGAATTCGATATTTTGTTCCTATTGTTTGCATTCTCTACCCACAGCTGGCCATATGGTGAAGGACAAACGTCCAATACCTATCATTGCTAGATGAGTTTTTGTCAAGATTCATCTATATTGTTAGGAGATAGAATTAGGTTAATTATTTTAGAGTTCAGTTTATTAACTATATTAGAGTTCAGTTTTTTGTCATTGAAATTTGATTTTTAAAGTTTTATTGAACTTTGTAAATGTTAATTGTTATGAACGTTATTCGAAGTGTTTTTACAAAGATGGTTTTAATTACTCAGTTCCAATGCTTCACGTATATATGTTCCTTGATCACTTAATTTGATTCTTTATATATTTATGGTAAACTATAGAGTGACCTTGTAGCTTCAACAATCCTTATTCATTTACTTTCTTTCTTGTACATACTTTTTAAGCTGATGAGCAAACGGTTTGTGTTTTACTTTTTGGGTGTAGGGGCTGTCCAAAGGCATACCATTTGCTTGTATCAAGTAAGGTGAAGCGTTTTTTAAATCTGAAGCTAAAAGAAACCATTGTATGTTGCTGTTCATGTTTATGTTGTGTAATTGTTTTGGATCGCTTCATGATTCATGTTCTCCTCGAAACTGAAGTTCATGTGATTTGTAAAACACTAACCATGATGCCTATTTCTAAGTTCATGTTATATGTATTAATATGTAAAAAAAAAAAGCTAAGAGCAAATCATACCACTTGTTAAGCACTGCTGCTACTTTGCCATATTCTTTTGACTGATTAGTGTTTCAGTTATGTTGGTTGAATTTTTTTTCTGCCATTTTTTCCAAGATCTCCCCATCTCCATCTTACCGGGTAAGATTTTAGTCAACCAAAACAACACCGTATGCAATAATTTACCCGATAAGATCTACCGTGGTAAGAGTTGTCGCATTCACTTACCGGGCAAGACTCTTATTCCTTGTCTCGCTTTTACCGGGTAAAATTCCTGGTCTTTGTCATATTCATCCGGTAAGGTAATGTGACTTGGTAAACGCTTACCCGGGTAAGCGTTTGGTAAACGGTCCCTAAAAGCTGCAAAGAGCACTTTTGAATAAGTTAATTTGCATCCGGGATCATTGAATGTCGGGGTCATGGGGGTCGTGCCCCCTTACGAGGTGCAGTGGTCAGAAGCTTCAAAACCTAAACGGTATGTATCAAAAACTGTCAATAACTACTTACCTAAACCAAGTGTAACTTATATCATCGTTAAATCTTCTCTAATAAAACCAGTAAAACTTCAAAATCGTTAAAATTCACGGCTCCCGCCGCATTGCGCGGGTACACAACTAGTATATACATACATATAATGATAGTGTTGACTTAATGACGTGCTTTCATTTGATTTTAGCATTATACCAAATCGTGATTTACGGTATTGGACGTGGCGTTATAATTATAAATACGATCCCGAGTTTCGAGACACATCACACTTCCGCTCAAGTTAAGGGTTTTACATTTTATTCTTCAATTGTGTTTTGGTATTGAACACTAGTAAAATAATATAACAAAAAGGCAAGTCAATTTTGTAGTTAATAAGTTGTATAAATAATCATCTTATAATTAGTTTTTTACTTCAACACATAAGGCATGTGGGGTCAATATCACTAATCTAGTATGGTCCTCATCCTTGATGCCATGTCCTTTTCCCCCCTTAGAATTTCAAGATCTTGCTCAGTGGCATGCATTTCAATTATGTGGTTCTGGTTTAAAAACTCGTTAGCTTTCAAATCTAGTATCAAATGATTATGCGAATCATACCAAATCGAGCGGAAACGCAAAACGAAGTTCACCAACAAGGATCGGAATATGAGGAGCTCATAGCTCCACCAATATCAACATCGTAACCCAGTATTTGGATAACACGTTCATCTTGTCTCGTTTTTAAAGGAATCCCGTTATTACTAATTCCATCAAGAAGTCTCTATAAAATTTAAAGCTAGTTTTAAAAAGTACTTGTACACATCCATTATATATAAAAAAAAAATATAGGTTTAAAGATTTGTACGTCTTCTACTATGAACAATTTATTACTGTGTAATTGTATACATGTGGAAAAAATAATATGTGTACTATATACGTAAAAGTATTAAATAAATAAATATATGATAAATCACTAAGGGACCGTTTACTAAATACTTACCCGGTAAGTGTGGATCGGGTAACTTTCCTCACCTGATGCATATGGCAATGGCTGAAAATCTTACCCGGTAAGAGCGATGATAGAGATAGAGAGTCTTACCCGGTAAATTATTGCGTACGATACCGTTTTAATATACTACAATCTTATCTGGTAAAATAGATTATAGTGTTGACTACTACCAATAAACGCTTACCGGGTAAGTATTTGGGTAAACGGTTCCTAAGTTTCTCGTGACGTTTGATATTAATTGGTTAAAAATAACCATAATGGTGTAACAAGAGTCTTTTAGAATCAACTAGAAGGGTACTCGCGCAATGCAGCGAGATATATCTTGATTTTAATATTTCATTTTATTTTTTATCTCAGTCGATGTTATAATATGGTCGTATGTGATTTGATTTAGGTACAATAACGAAATAATTTATATTTGGTTTAATAATATAATTTTTTTTATAAAAATAATAATTATTTATTTTGTTAGATCTCGATAATTATTCTAATTATATTTTAGATTTTTTATATTTTAAAATGAGATGTTTAT